GGGGGGAGGCAGGGAAGGACGGGGTTAAAGATCGTTTCACACTGCGTCTCTTGCGGGCAACGCGTGCCATATAAAAATGCAGGCAGAGCTCATGATTTTCATGTTTGCATGTTGTGCGTTTGTACCTGCGTCTTCATCGGTGCTGATGAAACGCCGATGCCTCCGGTCACAAAGGCATGATGACATTTCGACGCACTGGGCGAGCTGCCACGTGGATGCAAGTGGACATGCGTGTGTCAATGGATGCATTCACGCTAAGTGTGAAACGCCCTTTAGGAATGCAAGGACCGAAGACGTGCTGTGCATCGCGCTTTCATGGGGAATTCGTGGAAGCTTCCCGTGGATTGCGTGAGAGTCCATGCAAGTAGGAAATTATCGCGAAAACTCGAACCGTTCAAAACATCGTTTCGATGCAATTCTTGTCTGGTTTTATCTCCTGCGATCGATCAATATATCAAGGCTCTTGTGCAACGAACCCAAAAACTCGACAATATAATAGTAGTTATGAATTAATTTCTTTAAAATTAAATGTTCACTGCAAAATTTTACACGATCATACGAGCACCTCCAACATTATGATGGTCAGAAGGGGTCTGACCTCAGTGATAACCCTGGAAAATATATTCTTATAATGGTCTAACGTTCAGCAACAAATCGTATGATGCAAGATTAGGCATGACTGATGCATGACAGAAAATGACATCCAGAAGGAAGGAAGCAAAGCAGTGAAAATAATTAAAGGCTCAATAGCTGACTTCAGATTTTTGGACATTTTCAGAATGAAAAAGACCCCAATAAGACCCATCGAATCAGGGGCAATTCAGGCAATGTCCAGTTTACGACCTGTGGGGATTGTGGCAACAATTTGGTGGAGTTTTGAGAAGTACTCTTCACTTAAACGTTGGCGATAGCTAGTTATTGAGATACCAAAGCAATAGTAAAAGATAAATCCAACAATCTCAAGGTCTTCTCCTCCCATATAATACTAGTTCTTGTGGGGAATCAACGCGGAGAAGGGAGAAGAATGAAGCAAGTATCGGCTCACCAGATGTTTCTGAGATATTTAACTCAATAAATTGCAATTATCACTACGGAATTATCAGATGATCAGAGAGATGAAAAAATAAATGCTAACAAGATACAATTGAAATTTTTAGCGGATAGAAATGACCAGAGACGAATTATGGAAATTGCGCAAGTCCCGGAAATCAATCCACCCAGGAGAAGCAACAGAAAAAAAGAAAGTGATGCTTGGAGTTCGAGAAGAAAAATCAGAGCATATCTGCGAGATCGGAAGGACCAATCAGAGCACATCTACCAGATCAGAAGGACCAAACAGAGCACATCTGCCAGATCGGAAGGACCAATCATAGCACATCTGCCAGATCGGAAGGACCAATCAGAGCACATCTGCCAGATCGGAAGGACCAATCAGAGCACATCTGCGAGATCGGACGAACCAATCATAGCACATCTGCCAGATCGGAAGGACCAATCAGAGCACATCTGCGAGATCGGAAGGACCAATCAGAGCACATCTGCGAGATCGGAAGGACCAATCAGAGCACATCTGCGAGATCGGAAGGACCAATCACAGCACATCTGCCAGATCGGAAGGACCAATCATAGCACGTCTAACAGATCGGAAGGACCAATCAGAGCACATCTGCCAGATCGGACGAACCAATCATAGCACATCTGCTAGATCGGAAGGACCAATCAGAGCACATCTGCGAGATCGGACGGCCCAATCAGAGCACGTCTGCGAGATCGGACGGCCCAATCAGAGCACGTCTGCAAGGTTCAGAGCAGTGATTTTCACTCTTTTTATGTTGCGCCCCCACCTAATGACCTTTGTTCTCGGTGTCTCGCGACCCCTAGCGACCCTGGTTCGCCGCCGCGCCCCCTTTCTCTCTGAAAGGAGTACCTAGAAATTAAACTTTACCCAAAATGTTTTTTTTCATGCGCTGATTGAAAAAAAAAACGGAAACGGATTGCAACGTCTCAGGGACCGGGCCACAGCTGGGAAACGGATTATTATTCGCGTAATTTAATTAGAACGACGCTCAAATGCTTCTTGGCACTTAAATGATCGAATCTGGACTGGAGAGTAAAAATAACGGCGCAAATCTCATTTTCAAAGACGAGAAAGGGAAATGTCTTCGGAAATTTTGTTCTGCCAGGGGAATTCAGCTCTTTTGTCATTGAGTTTCTTCGAGTATTTATTAAGACAGAATGAGTGCACGGACGCTACATTCATCGAGCAATCAAATTACAGCCCAAAGGGAAATTCATTCGTCATCTTCATTCGAATCGTAGGAAATCGCCGACGGAAATGTACACCCATTGAAAAAAACGAATCGAATTTGAAAGTCTGCCTTGAATTGCTTTCATTTAGTCTTGTACTTCAGGAGAAAGCGTCAGAAAGACATGAAGGAATGTGATTTTTTTTCCAGTAAAAAGTAAAAATAATAGATGGATGAATGAAAATATTCCATAGTTGGGTTGGAAAATTTTTTTTCTCCGTATTTTGAAGGGTTGACCCAGGCACGTTCAGCCAAATACAAGTAGGCACAGGCCTGTCATTCTGAAAATCTGCGAATTAATGACTGGCCACGCGATGGTACGACGAGGCCATGCTAACTCACAGGTGTCCTTGGGACGAGAATTATCCCGAATGCCCAGAGAGGCTGTCATTTTTCATCAATAGGTGCAAAGAGCTGGGTCTCGTGGAGCGATGCAAGCGTCTCATGACCACGAAGATGCCCTACTCCTCTGCCATTCGCAGGTGCACGTGGACAAGCTGCGGGAGACGAAAGCCTGGGACGACGCAAAGCGGGAGGAGTTCTGCTCCAACTACCGCTGCATTTATGTTTATGAGATCACTTATGATTGTTCACTGATGGCAGTTGGGTGCACGGTTTCGCTAGCAGAAGCCATTGCCCGAGGAGAAGTTCGGAATGGCATGGCTCTTGTGAGACCACTCGGACCACTCACATGACCTGTTGCCCCCCCCCCCCAAATGTAACTTTACTGGTATGATTGGTTTATGGGAGTAATCACCTCAAAAAACCAGTTCATTTTTTCCCCCAAGGCTTCCATTTTGGAAAAGCATCACTTAGGAGGGAATTAAAAAAAAAAAGCCTTTATTGCTCATGGGTGTAGAGTACTTGAGATGTACTTGGAGCTGAGCCATTCCCTATATTGCCTTCAGAAAAATGTGTCATGTCTCCACATTTCTGTAACTTTGAGCATGCACCTTGTGCTGCATTTTCTGCATGTTTCCCTTTAAGGAAGAAGCTGAAGAAGCTTTTCCTTGAAGAACTTTAAGCTCCTCCAGATACAGCATCCATCATGGTGAATTATGTTCATCTGTTATGTACAGGGTGGTTGTTGATTCCATCTGGGGTCAGATGTTGTGTCTGGTATGCCACATTCTTGGGTATAGAAATTTATGCTGATGATTGAGGGATGCTGCACTTTTGAGGGAATGGCAGCAGTCTGACCGTGACTCAGGAAAATCCCATTTCAACTATTGGCAAGGAGCTATTTCTTTACTTCAGCCACTTTTGTGGCTTACAGGTCATGCAGTTGTAGACAGTTGCCCTAAAAAACTTGCTGATGGGTCTCCCTTCAACTGCTTCAATTCTGCCAGGTTTCTACTGAAATAATCACAGAATACTTCATCCTACTTCTCTGCTTCACCTGTGCAGCCTCACCACAGTGAAGTGCAATCAAGGTGTAAACAATGATGAGGGAGGCTTTTCCTATAAAAGCAACTGAAGCAACAACCCCTCCTGAGAACATTTCTGAACAGACATTTAACCAGATTAAATTTTGGAAGTATTGAAGAAGCAATTTATAAGATGCAAGGGAAGAAATCTATGGAAGGAGGAGCAGTCAGACTTGATGATCTTGGGATAATATTCTTTTCCCCATTCTCCTTTTTCACCATCAGATTTAAATACTTATGGCAGGGGTATTAAATTTGTCTAGGATGGGGGAAGAATGGAACCATCTAGGAGTAATCAAGGCTACACTGATTATTGTATTTTCTTGCCTGGAGTTTTACTATGAACAGGTTGAGATTTGGCAATGATTTTTTAAAATCAATTTTATCAGAGAATTTTGCTGAGGAAAGAAAAAGGATGATCAGTGTGACACCCTTGCAACACAGTGAAGCAGAAAAGGGTAGCAATGACCAGGTGTGATTTCTAGCAATTCCAGAGGAACCATAATCAACCCTCTAAACTGTTCCATGATTGGTAAATTACCAGGGCTGCTGATCAATGAAATATTTTTCAAGTTTTGATATTCCCATAATTATCTATTTAAACTTAAATTTAAGTTTTTCAACATCTCACTGATGCTGACATTGAAGTTATTCTCCACATAGAAACATTTTTCTTCAGCCTCTTTTGCTTACTGATTATTAATTAGAAGTCTAATTACAAGTCACCCTGTCTTCACTGCCTTGTGAGGATCTGCACAATTTTGGTCAATATGAAAAATGGAGACAGAAAGCAATTCTCATGTTTGCATTTACTGTGAGGGATGCTATGCATGTTTCACAGGCCTTTCTTCATGCCAAATGTTTTTCACTTTGAAGTTTCACAGGGACCTATCAGTACTGTCTGCAGAGGCAGGAAATGTCGATTTTTGCTGTCAATGGGAATTATGATCTCTCCCAGAGTACAAAGAAATTGGATGGAGTGGAGTAGTGTCATATCTGCCTGTATTTATTTATTGAGTGGTTGGGAAGGAATGGAATTGGGAGAACCACCTCCAGCTTCTTCCTGACTACCTCTGCTAGAAAGTGAAGACATTGTGGAGTGGAGGCCTCCTCTTTCTAGTTCCTTGGGATTTGGATTTTGAAGAAGAAAAAAAAAAACTTAGTGAATTGTGGTGGTAAGGAATCTAAACCTGGTCTTTCAATGGAGTTATTCATGAAGCCTTGAAGGCTTTGCAGCTAGGTAAGAAGAAAAAGGTGCTTGAGCATTTAGATTGCATGTCTGTGCCTTTTTTCTATCAGATCTTCCATTCCATTCTTGTACTATCCATGAGGAGTAATCAGATATTCGGCATGGGAACAGGTCTCCAAATGGGAGAATCTGGTTGAGCCAATCTGACACAATCCTGAATCTAAATGTGAAACTGTGTCTATAGTTGGAGGCTGAAGAACCACTGGATCGGGAAGCACAATGTCCATTGAAGAAAAAAGCTATCTAAGCAAGAGAAGTTATTATTTTGCAGGACACTTTTCCCTTCAGCCCTTCATTTCTCAGAGAAACAAAGCCCATTTCTTGTACAACTAATGGTTTTACTAGTAGAGAGTTCTGTTTGAGATTTCAGTGCAATTTGATTCTAGCCTACCTCCAAAGGTTCCCATGTTGTTCTCTCCCTGATCCATTGGAAATGGAGAAATGGTTTACATGCATGGTGATGCCCAGAGATCAAGCAAGGTAGACCTCAGGAATCTCTTCATCTACTAATTATTTTGGGAGGACACCAGTCATCATACAGTTCTCGCTGGAGAAGTCAAGGATGACTTCTGTTTGCTTTTTTTTTTAAGGGATCCTGAAGAAAAAAGGAGTTCTTCAACCATTAAATATATATATTTAAATATTTGCTCATTAGTTATGAACTTCAAGGGGCTTTCCCCATTTGCTCAGAGGTTGCTGGTACATCAAGCAGCAAATGGGTACAAAGAAATGGGAGTACTAGGGTTCAGTGGAGTAACTTCTACCCATCTGGACATCACTGCTTCAACCCTTAAAAAATATGATAGGCGTGGAAAGAAAGTGAAGAATAAATTTACATCTTCACATGTCTAGGAATAAAATGAAGAAAAAGACAAAAGGTAAACCCCAGTTTCCAGCATAAAAAGAAATGCCATCTATGGTGGACTAATGTAACCCTTAGCAGGATTGATGGCTTAAATGAGTAGCCTGCCTTTTTCATATTGAAAAAGAGGAATGGGCCATAGAGGTAACATTGGCCACCTCTAAAAGTGAAATATACACTGTATATACATAGCACTTGAGAAATCGCTGTATTTGCATCAAAATTTTTTCACCAATTAAAAAAACCTACATTGTATGGTAGAGCTTTGAGGGTCAGTCTAGAAGAGATCCTTCATGATGGAGATTCACTATTTTGATGGCATGTCTACAGAGGTTGTGTATCATAGCTGGCAACATGGTGTGTACAGTACAAGCTGCACAAGGAGAAAACAAAGGAACAGAGTAATGGTGCTTGACTTCATGACTTCTAGACACACATGATTGTGTGGATCCTGAATGTTGGGGTTGAGGTTTGAAGTGAAATAATGTATGTAAATAATGTATATACCAAGACCAATGCAAAAGGAGGGATTCTTTCAAAAAGGAGCATGGCAAAGTGACAACATAATGAAAAAATTGACATTAACTGAGACCCACACAATAGTGCAGGTAGCAGTCACTTGAGAATGGAGCAAGTTTGAGATAGTTATACAGGGTTGTGCAAAAGTTCCCGTACACATTCTTTGCTCTTACACTCTTACACTTTTTAATTTTTTTATTCATAAAGTTGAATTTTATAAAAATCTTAACCTCAGCTTGTTAGTTGAATAATTATGTACAACAACAATGTGAAAAGATAAATCAATCAAATTCTAAGCATATGCTCAAAATTGGTGCCGTCCTCCTTGATACACTCTCGGAGTCGCTTTGGAGCATTGCGAATGATGGTTGCCAGCTGTTCGACGTTGATTTCATTCCAAGCGCATTGCAAAGCCGTCTTCAGTGCCTCGGTGTTGCGAAAACGGATTCCCGAGATATTTTGGTCCCAAGATCGACAAGACCGAGTAATCCATCAGGTTCAGAACTAGCGATTGCTCCAGACTTCATCCTTTGGTTGCGAAGCGCGATGATAGCACTTCGATTCTCTTTGAATGTCATAGCTCCAGAGAAAATTTTCAAATAAAGACTGAAACTTACTATAATTAAAACTTTTCATAACAAAAAAGCCCGTAAAATAAAAAATACATTGGAATCGGCTTAAATCCTTTGATTGGTGAAAAAAAATTAGATTTTCAAAGTGTACGGGAACTTTCGCACAACCCTGTATATTACTGGTGCTCATTATGCATTCTGTATATTAGGAGGCTTGCTGTTGGGTTGTACTGTGCCTGTCTTTTATTGAATTGCTTCATCTTTTTTTTTATCACGACAGGGAGGACGTGCTGAGATGCTGAGTTTGATCTGCTGAAGGAATGGAATGAATTGTCGATTGATCAGTTGTGAAGAACCGTAAATGATTTCCCAAAACATCTGAAGCAGGTTATTGCCTCAAATGGTGATATTTTTTAAACATAAAAACATGGTTAGTTTAGTTTTTTGTGATCCTTGAACTGGTCAAATCAGAAATTAAATTGGTCTTCATCAGAGAAAGCTACACTTGATTAAAGTTGTCCACGGACTTTTGAGTCACCCTGTAATGAGCATCTGACAACTTTTCTTCTCTCATTCCAGGAAGGAAAACACCATATGATATATTGCAACACTTTAGTTAAGCCTTATTTGTTATTATATAGGGAAGAGTGAAGTGAGAAGGAGGACTGTCTTTTTTGTCAAGTATAGGGCATCACAATTCTGATGGAGAAACTGATAGGAGTGTGATTCAGTTGATCAGAATGGGGGTGGGGGGGAGAGAAGACCATGGTAAACAGGTCATTCATTAATAAGTGGAGTATATTTTTCTCCCTTCATTTCTTGTCTTCCAGGATCAACTTCATTAGAAGATAAGAGTTCTTGCTTTCTCATTCTATTTCTCTTCTTGTGGGTCCTCTTTTCTCACCCCATCTTTTATCCCTTAACAAGTGATGAACATGTTGAAAATGCTCTTGGACATATGGCAGGTGGTTTCATGAAATAAAAAAAAAAGCTTTACAGGACTATTAGAGTAGTCTGTTTCACTTAGATGACTCACATCTAGATTTCCAAGAGTTCACTATATACTTACAGGTCATGGCAGGCACAGGGGACCTCCAGGTGCTTCGAATGTGCAGGCACCTTCATGAACGGGTTGGACCATCTCACCCAAGTGCAACGTATGGTGCACATATGGCTGTCCACATGGCTCTTGGTCTACTTTTCCTTGGTGGAGGGACCCAGACATTGGTGACCCATCATCGAGGCATAGCAGGACTCCTCACTGCCTTCTTCCCAAAGTTCCCCACTCACAGCAGCGACAACCGCTATCACCTGCAAGCCCTGCGCCACTTATATGTTCTAGCTGTGGAGCCACGCTTGGTGATTCCATGTGACACTCGTACCCTTCAGCCATGTTATACTCACCTCAGGGTCCTTTATCTTGATACTCCTTGGTATTCAAATGAGGAGCTCACCATCCGGGCTCCTTGTCTTTTGCCTCCTCTTGACACCATATACAAGGTATGTTGTACATAAAAGCATTGCTAATGAGTGTGGGAGTTGAAATTTCTGAAATCAGAATGCCCAGAAGTACTTATGGCTGTTCTAATTATTACAAATTATTATGCTAGAGACAATTATAAATTCTCTATATTTCAGGTGGAAGTGAAGGACAGTCGTTATTGGCCCATAGTTTTTGAGAAGGGAAAGAACTGGGATACACTCCTGTAAGTGCAAAATGTCTAAATCATGGGCAACCAATTTTTCACATTGCAATCCAAAAATATCTCAAGTCTAACCTGGTATTGATAAAATTCTCAGTCATGTATTGCCACCATATTTCATTCTCAACCTCTAATACTGAACTTAAATAGCATAATTTTGGCTTGAATAGGACCCTACTCAAAAAGGGAGGGCAGTTGCCTGTGACACAAAAGGCTGGATCATTGTCATATATGGAAGATCCCCTTGGCTTTAAGAGCATGCTTGGAAGGCTCTTATCTTCATCTGATGTTGTCCCCTGGGATGTTCATGTGAGTCCCATAAATTTCACTTTCTTAGGGAAGGTGCTTTCTAGTATTAAGGATGTCTGACACCTATTACCATATTCTTGGTAGCCAGTGGCAGTGGAATCATTCACCTCTGATCCCACATTACTTGCAATCGCTCAGAGCTTCCGACCAGCATCCGAGTTGCAATCAGAAGAGGATAATGAAGCCATGCTTCTTCGTTACATTGGCTCCCTTATGTATGAATGCATCACTCATGAGAAGCAGGATCTCATCACCTTTTGGCCATCTATGGTCTTGGTGAGTACCATCCATGCTATTTCAGGATACATTAACTCAGCTGCTGGGCCACAATTTCATTAGGGACTTAATGGAATAAGCTGTTGTCATTGCTGCCCAAAGGCCTCTAGTTCTAGCACTTGCTTTCCCAGATCAAATATTGCATCTTTCAGGTAGGGAACTGGTTTCTTCTTCAATGCTGTTGAAAATTTCATTTTTTTCCTTGCCATTATTGCCAACAATCTCTGGTGACATATAATGGCACCTGTTTAGGCACCCTAAGGAGTCCAGAAAAGGAGGCCTATAAAATTAATTGTCAGCCATCTCTTTCTCAGGTGGAATGTGGAACACTTCATTATGCCTTCTTTTGCTACCATGGTAACAGGATATTTCTGTAACCACAATGCGCATTTTTTGCTTTACTGTGGCATGATACCAAAGTTACTCTCAAATGTGAGCAGCTTTCTGACCTGTTGAGGGTGGATTTACCCATGCAAGTGTTCTTAAAGGAAAGTTATGCATGATAAGTTTTTCCATAGACTGTGTATATCCATCTGTATATATCTGGTCCATTGGAGTGCAGGGGAGACTTGTTAACTCAAATATTGATATATTCTGAATAATCTGAAAGTTCAATGCTTGGTCCCACTGGGATTATGCCAGACACCATATTAAGTAATCAATTTTACTTGAGTTTGCATCTCATATTTTTAACATTTAGAACATCTTTGCCATTGTCAATTTTCATGGTTATCTCAAACTGTAACTTGTTGACTGCAATTAATAAAAAAGTATAGACCTGAGACTTGTTGATTTTTGGATTTTCTGTATGGCTGTGCCGATTATTGTGATATAGTTTGCTTAATGTCTTATCGGCGATATGTGGGCACATCGCACATCACAATATTTTTATTTTTGAAAGAAGTAAAGGTAATCCTCTGTTGTTATAGGAGAAGGAATTAGAGCACATGAACTGCACCATTAATTTTTATTTAAATACAATAAAAGCTTAGGACAATGAAGGCTGTCAAGATCAGTTTTTGTCAAGGCTGAAAGCCTTGACAAAAACTGATAAGATGAAGGTGGGAGGTGGGGATAATCCTCAGGCTGCAATCCTCCCTTAATGCTTTCTTTTCCTGGGATATTTCCTTGAGTTTTTGGTGAAAGTAATCACTCGGCTTCAGTTAGCCTGAGCACCATCGAATCAAGGCTGATTTTTGTGAGTGCTGTGCAGATGAAGAGGACCAATAAGTCTGAGTGGAAGCCCATCATGGAAAGCCTATGGAATGTATTTAGATTTTATTTAATGATGGATGCAATACAAGGTCTGATCAAAAGGTTCCAGTACTTTCTTGTTAAAAAACAAACTGCTTTAGGTAGGGGGCTAGGAATAGTGTAGGTGGGAGTGGGGGGGTAACCACACGCATGGTGAAACCTCCTTTGCGCTAAGATTAACCAGTCACAAATCACAAGCGTTGAAATCCAGTCGTCTCTGTGCCCTTCATCGAATTTTTGATCATGCATCCTGATGCATAATGAGTTTGTCCCACAAGGCCAGACAGTTAAGCAGGCTTACTACAAAGATGTTTTGAACCATCTGCAAGAAAAAATTAGTGGAAAATGGCCCCAACTTTTCCAAAATGAAACCTGGTTTTTGCATCATGAGCAGGCTCCAGCCCACACTGCTCTCACAATTCAAAAGTTTTTGCCTTTAAAAAAATTCCTGTGTTGCCTCACCCTCCCTATTCACTGGACTTGGCTCCATGTGACTTTTTCCTCTTCCCCAAGATTAAATTTCACTTGAAAGGAAAAAGATTTGAAGACATTGCAAGCATCAAGGAAAATGTGACAAGGCAGCTTAAGAGTTTTACACTCCAGGACTTCCAGCACTGCTTCCAGAAGTTGCAGGAGCGTTGGGATAAGTGCATAGCATCAAGGGGGGAATACTTTAAAGGGGACAACAATTAATTTTAATGTACTTATAAAAAATAAAATTTACAAATAAAAGTACTGGAACTTTTTGATCAGACCTTGTATACACTCAGAAAATGGAGAAGTAGTTGGATGCCTTCATTGAAAGGAAGAAATTCCACATTCTGGGAATATGACCAATCTCTTGCATCATGTGCATGCAAGCAGTTTGAGCCTCAATTTGAATGTGGTGATAAGTTGAGTCCTGCTGCTAAAAAAAACATTCAATCATTCTTTGCAAACAAATTGCTACCAAATATCATGCATGCCTTGTGACAGAAAATGTCAATATGTTCTCCTTCCTTTCTTTGAACCACAATCTACTATGATTTAATGTATTTAAGTGCCTTCCTACTACACCCCTCACCAGATGAACTCCAGCGATGTTGCGTGATATATGGGTCGACGATATCTATACATTAAAATTCCATATTGCCCAACCCTAATTTTCTGAAATAAATAAACCCATTCAGGGAATATTTCTCATTTTTTATTTTCTTTCCTCCCCACCCCCTCACAGGTGCCTGTTAGGTGGTTAAAACTGGGGTCTAAAACCAAGAATCTTCTGTAATAAGAAAGAGGGAATGATTGGCTCATTCCCTGTTTGTCTATTGGTTTCACTTGGCACCATTACTGTCTAAATCTGATTCTTTCATGCCATGACTTTTCTCAACTCACTCCAGAGAAAACTGATAACTATGACTCTTGAAAAGAAGGTGCATTTAAAATTGAATGCTTGGTTGGATGGTTACGCCCTTAGCTCAGACTGTAAAGTTTTTCTATGGATAAAGCTGATTCTGATATATTCAGAGTTTTGATGACTCAAAACTGTTCTGTCCTGTCTCATGGAGTTCGAGTTAACAAGTTTGCCCCATACTTTCATGAAATAGGGTCCCTCTATCTTCTTGAATTTAAGAAAAATGCTGAACGGTACTGTCCAGTGAATTTGAGGCATACCTTATGGTTTCAGCATTACTGCATCTCCCATTGGCAAAATAGTAGCCTCTGCCTCATTCCAACTGTATCCATGGTGATAATTTCTGAGGCTTTGGCTTGTTTGACTGGTATTACAGAATGAACTGTGATAAAGAGTTCAATTCAAGTTTCTACTGCCATATTTTCCTTGTATATTATATGGGACATGTGCACCAATCAGAAACACTGGGAATGAAAGTGGGAAGTTGCATAGCAGCTGACTTGGTGAGTGCACTAACAGGTGGCCTTCCAGATTCAGAAAATTTTAAAGGTTTGTTCTGATCCCTTTCCAGAGCTCGAAGAGAGTGGTGTTCTCTCAATGGGTAACTCATCTTCAGCTTCTCTCATCCTGGGCAGAAAAAACTCCAAAGTCCATCCTCACTAGTGAAGCTGTCATGTCCCTAATCCTGAAAGTCAAGAGTTACCTGACCTCAGATATTGCCAAAAGTAAGTACTAATCAATTTCTCCTTGTATAGATGCAATTTTCAGTTATCAATGTGTTCATGTGCTAATCTTGGAGAGCATTTCCTGAAATCCATTAGCGATGCTGAAAAAAGGACTGAGGCAGTACATGCTAATGGATGAGAAACCAAGTGATCTGGACAAAGAATCCAAGGAGGCCCTGGCAGCATACCTTACCTGGGAAGGGATCCCACCCATTGGAAAATGTGAATCATTACTCTTTCCTCTGCACATCCTTTCAAATATATAGGGATCATTCAGTTGAGAATGCATGGGTATAGCTTAGCTTTTTATGTTATCCCCTTAGGTAGACAGTAGGAAACATTGTAATCACCTTACTGAACAAGGAAAAAGAAAAGGACTTTTCTTTTGCATGCAACCAATTAGATGAATTTTACCATAATAAATAGAACTTTATCGAAGCAGGATAGATGATGCCTTATTTTGGCAAAAAATTGTGATTGTTTATATGCTTCTTATATTTGGTTCTTCTTGTAACGAAGCACACTTTTATGAAAAACCCCATTTAATGAAAAATACAAGGAGAGTTCAAGGTTCAATGGTACTTTATTTTCCACACAAATTTTCACTGCAAGAGCAGTGAAAATTTGCATAAATATTGCTGTAACACTGGGTGACATACAACCTGAAGATGAAGGGTGGATGAGAGTTTCTCGTAGATGAAAACAAGTTGGCGTCAGGTGCTATTACTCCAGCTTTGGAACAGCAACATGTAATCAAATTTCCAGTGAAGGAAGGTGTCAAGGTGGTAGAAATCCACTGTAGACTAACATAACAGATTGGTAATGCTGCTCTTCCAAGGTGAACGGTGTACTGTTGGTGTGATGTTTGAAATCATGAATCAGTTACCGATGCAGATTGTGCACATCCATCAGGCACTGCTGTGACACCTGTATTGTGTTCTGGGAAATCTTAGGTGTGATTCATGTGGAATTTCTGGAGTGCAGTAAAATGGTTGATGCAGAGTACTATAGTGATCTTTTGAAAGGCAAAGTGTAGTAGGCAATATGCAAAAAACGCCCAGGGCAACTGAGTAGAGGTGTGTTAATGTTCCATGACAATGTTCACCCTCATTTGGTGAACCATAAATCGACAGGGTTGGGAGATTTTGGAACACCCCCTTACAGTCCAGATCTCTCCCCAGGTGACTTCCACATTTTAAGACCTTTAAAAAAAAAAATTTGTCTGAATAGAAATTCAAGACAGATGAAGAGGTGCAAAAATGTGTCCTCCATTGGCTCTGACACCAGCCTTTCATGCCAAAGACATACAAGCTCTATCCCACCAATGGGAGAATTGTACATGTGTAAAGGGGGAATACTTTGAAAATTAGACAAACTTTCATGGATGTATCTCTTTTTGTGGCTTCTTGTGGAAAATAAAGTGTCATTGGACCTTGAACTCCCCTCGTATATCAACAGTTGGTCCATGCATCTTACCCTGTATAAATTATAATATGTTGTAACAAATTATGATACAAAATATACCTTATAACAAAGTAATTCTTTTGTACTATCCCCAAAAACAAGCTTTTATAATGAACTTGCAAAATTTTCATGTCACTTCTATCCCATAACAAGCTCATAATCGAGTGTGAACATGGCTTTACTTACAGCAGGATACATATTACCTTCACACATGCAGAGATGATCAGTCACACATTCAATTAGTCATGCCCATGCCCAAACCCATACTGTACAATATACAGTAGCTTGTTTCTACTTTACCTTCAGTTATAACAAAAATTGTAATACTTTTGTCAACATTTGGTATAAATTTTAAATGAAAATATGTTACAACCAAGGAAATATGGCTCCCCCTTTGAATTTTGTAATAGTGAACATCAACTATAATGGCTGACCTCTGCTGCTCCAAACATTATTCAGTGTTAAGCATTATGGAGCATGAAGTGATTCTGTTCAGGTCAGATTGTGTGAGTTTTTGTCAATGGTAGGTTTGGAGCAGTTATAAATGGATTGTTCCTTGTACAGTAACAGTAGCTTCATTTTGCACATGCAGTAACTTGATTTGACCCCTAATGCCCTGATTCCAGGGCCAATCTGGAATATTCTTGCACATGGATTTTCAGTGATGAACAGGACTTCATTTGATTTTTGCATTCCTTTCCACATTGTAGGTTGTACAGAGAGATAAAAGAACAGAATAGGCATCAATATGATTGTTGAATAATTCATTGATTAGGTGAAAGCAGCTGGTACCTTCTGAATATTTCCATTCAATCCACCATGTCATCCTCAACTGAATGGACTTGTATTTGATGCATGACTAATTTTTTTTTCTTTTTTCTGACCTAGGGACATCTAAAGAAGAGGTTGGAAAGGAGTTGCAAAAAGCAGGAGTTGCAATGTGGACTGTGATATGCACACTACAGTTCATGTCTTCCTGAACAAAACTAACTGATCTACCAGTCTTCTATGCCAACCATGAGGGAATGTTTTTATATTATGACCTCCATGCTGAGAATACAATTAGAGCATGTTACCATTCCCCATGCTTTTATCAGATCTTTTGTCTTGGGACCATTTGTGGTTTATTGTGGCTCTCCATAACTACCAGCTTTTCTGACCCCAGAACCAACATCTATATTTGGTAATTCCCTGTTGTCCCTTGTCATCCTTTTTCAGGCACTTGGCTCTGCTACAGCAGAGATTTTAAAACTTAATTGCAATAGAGTTGAACAAAGACAGTCAATGGCAAGTCAGTGAACTGTGTTATCTTGCCTGAGAAGAGTAATCTCTTTCTCACATGAGTGGAAGTAGGAATTGTGAGAAAATCTGATAATTCAAGAAACTTCTCTCTTAGTACCCTGTGGATCTTCACTTCAAGATCGGGTAATAATTAACACAATGGCTGTCATACATCAAAATGCAAACATCCACCTGTGTGGCATGGTTGGAAACAAGAAGTGATATTATGAAATGCAATGAAATTGGTGTGCAATCTACTTCATCACAAAACCTGCCATGATGTGCCACTGGGATGTATTCACCATATAAGAAAACTGTGTCTGAGAATCACCAGTGATACACATGGCAGCTAATGTGAACAACACATTAGGCCACATGCACAAGCCTCAATTACTACCCTGACAGTAACATTATGAAACTCATGTCCATTGTAGTTACTGCCTGCTGACATCATACTAAAGTTATTATTACACCAGTTGAACCTTGTGAATGCAGGTATCAGTTCCATACAGTCTCTTCTTTAGCATAATTCTCATCCTGCTGCTTTCTGTGGCTGTTTTAATCTACATCTGTATACGTTCTGCATGCTACTTACATGGGAAATCACCAGTTCACATGCCATTGTGGTGAACAGAAATCCATATGGTAAGGCACAATGATGCCTTTTTGGTAAGAATAGGATAATCTTTTCCCACTGGAATTCATACTCTCGCAACATATAGTCACAGTTGTCAAAAGACCTAGTATGATACACTTCTTTCTTTCCCTCAAGATCTTGCATATGCACAACTGTCTGGTACTTTGAGAATTATGAATGTACACAGTTTTTGTGATCTGTTTCTTGTTCTTGTTCCCATTCTGGTTACTGAACTTGGAATTTACTTCATAGCAAAACCTAAGGAACTGTTTCTGACAGTTCAGACATTAGGTTCATTCTGGAGACATGCCTTTTGGAAGTTTTCTTGTTGCAAGGAGTAGACCTGGAGATGCCACTATACAGGGTTGTGCGAAAGTTCCCGTACACTTTCAAAATCTTTTTTTTTTCACCAATCAAAGGATTTTTGGCGATTCCGATGGGTTTTTTTTTACAGGCTTTTTTGATACGAAAAGTTTTAATTATAGTAAGTTTCAGTCTTTGTTTGAAAATTTTCTCTGGAGCTATGACACTCAAAGAGAATCGAAGCGCTATCATCGCGCTTCGCAACCAAAGGATGAAGTCTGCAGCAATCGCCAGATCTGAACCCTATGGATTATTCGGTCTTGTCGATCTTGGGAGCAAAAGATCTCGGGAATCCGTTTTCGCAACACCGAGGCACTGAAGACGGCTTTGCAATGCGCTTGGAATGAAATCAACGTCGAACAGCTGGCAACCATCATTCGCAACGCTCCAAAGCGACTCCGAGAGTGTATTTTTTCGCAACACCGAGGCACTGAAGACGGCTTTGCAATGCGCTTGGAATGAAATCAACGTCGAACAGCTGGCAACCATCATTCGCAATGCTCCAAAGCGACTCCGAGAGTGTATCAAGGAGGACGGCACCAATTTTGAGCATATGCTTAGAATTTGATTGATTTATATTTTCACGATGTTGCTGTTGTACATAATGATTCAACTTACAAGCTGAGGGTAAGGTTTTTTAAAATCAAAATTCAACTTTGTAAATAAAAAAATAAAAATGTGTTAGAGAAAGAAAAGAAAGTGTCCGGGAACTTTTGCACAACCCTGTATATGGACAACAAAGACAGAAATGAGGGAAGCAGCTTTAAACTTTTGATAACTTATGAAGGCATAGAGTACACTTTTTGTCTCAACTGCTTGTTTAGCCTTTTCTCCTCTACCACTTCCTAGGCAGACCAAAAAATATTGATCAAGAATGTCACAAAATGAAAGTTCATTTTCTATGGAAAAAATGTTTTTCAAGGTCAAATCAACACTTCAATTTTACAATAGGTGACAGAGATTATTTATAATTTGCATTAGATGGTAATGCAGTAGAAACAGAAGGGCTGAAAGAATTCAACTAGAGCATGAGGAGGCGGAGAGGACTGAAATTATTAACAACAGAATCAACAAAATGGGGATATCCCCAGATTCACACTACTACAATTGTCTGAGTCTTTCAATTTATATATTTTTTAACATAACAATTTTAGATTAAGTGTTTCAAAAACTACAGAGGTGTCAAGTTCACAATGGTTATAATAATGATTGCTATATGGTTGTAATGATGAATAATATAAATTTTGGGCAGCCAAAAGCAAATCAAAAGCAACACCTTTGAAAAAATGAAATCACTACACAGCTTTCACCCATGATTGCAATGCTCATGAAAGTGTTATTGAATGGCCAAATATTGTATTTCAAAACTCTCCTTATGACTGGAGAAAAACCACTTAATCATACATATAATTAACAATTAAGAGAAAATTTCTGAATATTGCTTCAATGTGAGTACCCTTTAGAAAACTTAGTGAGTCATGCCAAAAAGTATCCCAAGAGACCTTCAACAGGTTGACTGCCACAAGGCACACTGGTGTGCCTCACTGAATGGGAAAATCAATAGGCCAGCATTTCCGTGGCAGTCAACATGTTAAAATAATTTTAAAATGCAATCAATATATTCCACTAAAGTGATATTGTACTATTATTATTATTAGTATTAAAAAAAGGTATTTGCTCTACTTAGCTCCTCATCCTAATTCATATCTATTTCAATATCTCACTACTCTTTAAACATTGCTCATAGTCTTCCTTCGAATAATAATTCTAGAAAAAGTTTCACATGTCAGTTGAAGGAATACCAATATACACATAAAATGCACATTTGAACATTTTATCCAAGAATAGAATATATATATATGGACTTGAAGATGGGATATCTCATTGCCATTAAGGCAAAATTGACCATACTTCTTCTAAGAGTCCAATCTAGTATCCAGTAGTTACCTTGTCCTTGAGGAGTGCAGCAGAGCGAAGGATGCGACGGGCATCGGTGTTGCGTCCTTCCCGTACCAGCTGCCTCGCAATGATCTGCCCCAGGCTCTCCATGGTCTGGAGAGAATTCCCTGGGCCTCCCCTCAAGGATGCACCATCCAGGGTCAACATCCGCTCGCACCACCGGTACGTTGGCAACAGGGCCTCTGCATAAAAGTCAATCACACATTCTTGGTGAACCATCTTGAACATTTTGGAGGGTTCTTTTCCAAAGTAAACTAATCATCCTCCTAGCATTGTCAAACAATATTTCAAACTGCTGTCACACTCCACCTATAGGCTTCCTATTGTACAAGGTTAGTTAAAAGTCTGGAACCAAAGGGAAAAATTATTTTTTGTCTCTTTTTCAGGGAAAATGGTACTGACAAAAGAAGAAGACATTGAAGTGATACTTTTGTTCAGAGGTAGAACTGTGCAGGAAGTTTGTGAGATATTTAACAACAACCATCAGGACCATCCTCCAATTCACACAATGCTGTAATGAAGTCTGTGTCTGAGTACAGAAAACTAGCAATGTAATTGATAAACCATGGAGTGGAGGGCCCAGAACAGCAACTGATGAGGCAAGAAGCTCTACTGTGTTGGTGAAGTTTTTCCTCCGTCCAAAGAATCCACCACGAGAATGTCATATGAGACCGGAATAAGCCAGGAAGCACTGTTCACATCTTGAAAAAAAAAAGTGGCATTCTTATTAACTTTTAATGCTTCAGAATATGAGCGATGGTAATCCCAATCACAGCATGGAATTATTTAATGGGCATTACAACAGTTTGATAACAGGAAAGTCTGGGTCACCTGTCTCATACGACATTCTTGTGGCGAATTTCTTAGGGCCACGGAAGAACTTCACCAACACAATAGTGTTCTAGCCTTACCAGTCACCGTTCTGGACTATCAGCTCTATGGTGTACCAATTACCTTGCTATTTCTCTGATCTCTTATTTGAGGCACATGCCTCAAACAAAACACAAGATCAATCTCACTATATGATCCAAATCCAGTTTTTCTGGCTTGAGTGAGCAAGTCTGCATGCATGGCATGATGAATGTAGTATTTTTTTCATGAATGCTTTTTACAGTAAAATAGAAAAAGCATTGAGACTTTGTTTGTCAGCAGGTACAGACACAAGCCTCATCAGCCACTTAATCATTTTTGCTGGGATGTATATGAACCTAAACTTGCTCTAGAGCATAAGGAGTAATGTCATGAACACAACAATATATATATATATTGCATTGTGCTCAATGCATATACCAACTATGATGCTATAGCGGAATACTTGCATAAAGAAATGGATTTTTCACATTTTTATGTTTTTGTGATGTATAAATTCAAACAAATTTTGAGGAGTTAGAAACAACCTTCTGCTTAACCACTGAAATCAGGATGGCACTTACCCTCATTTCGGCAGTGGGTGACTAGCTTGCAAAGATCCCAGAGAAGGTGTGACGGGTCATGCAGTGTTGGGTCCTGCATCCTGGATGGCACTTCGATTCCACACGGATGGCACAGGAGTCCACAATGGAGGGACCCTAGCTCACTTTCACATCATCCATTTCCCTCGACCCCACAGAAAGTTCTTTCACATGCACTGACTCCTTTTCAATGCAGAAAAAGGATGCATTAGCATACTGCACAGACTTCAAAACAGTTTCATCTCCTTTAAACTAAAGTGCTCTCAAGTTAAACTTGACCCTTTTGCAACCACAAGATGCGCCAACATGTCCACCAATGTTGGGGGGGGTGGGGGTGGGGGGGGAAGAGATCAAAGGACCATACACAATATTTTGTCTCATGAAGGAAGGAAGGGTATATCACAATGAATACAAACACCTCTATTTTCATGATGGTATAATAATCTGATGAGAATTGGGACCAACAATCACAAAAACAATCAAAAAATGGGAGAGGATGACCAGATCACAGTTCACACCTTTTTAAATCCCCATAATTAAGCAAAATAATTTTTAACAACTCATTTCTTGGGCTTGAAACAAATTTGGGTTATATCAGAAAGAAGAAAAAATGACTCAAGGTTGAAGGTTTAACTCAAGAGCTGAAATTGACTTGACAGAAAAGAGGGCCAATGAGAAAACAGACAACCACTGGAAGAACGGACAGAGCCTTGGCTTTGGCTTAAACCAAAGGTCCTTCAAAGCAGTTTTTCAAAGACAACCTGGACAATCTTAATCATATGCCCTCTATGGCCAAGAAAAAGGAAAACACAAGAGAAAAGCATTGTCACACTGAGCATTGGATTCTTGAAAGTTCCATGCAGAAACTTCTTTCCTTCTGCAAACACATTACATTTTGGACACAATAATGCTGGAGAGCACCAGTCAAGCTTTCTGTTTGTACCAATCACATCCAGAGTGATGTAATTCTGACTGATGACTGGAGATTAAATATAAGGAATACTATGCATGGAATGAGAAACATGAGACATTCATTCTTCTTTATGAATGTGCATGGACACCTCCCAGAATATCCCTGAGGACAAAACCCAAATGAACACATTTTCACTGAAATCCAGAGAGAGTGACATGAGAAGAGACAGAGAAAACAGTTACCTGTATTTTATGAGCTAGTGTAACTCAGCGTTCTTTGATGGTTTCTATGTGACGCAGGACATCCTTTTTGGTTATCACTCCTAAGAGCCTCCTTCAAAATGAAACAAACAGTTATAATGAGACCATAGAAAGATGAGTCAAGTGAATTGCATGAAAATGCCAAAATTTGGCATGGGACTATACCCATTATGAGTGACAAGGGTGTGACGGATGCCCAGTTTCCTGAACATGTCAATAACAGTCTCCATGGGGGTGTGATCTGTGACAGTGGGAGGAGCCATGTCAAGGATCATCTTGAGCTTTACAGGAGGAGGACCATCCCATGGAGATGGGAGGGAAGTCCCAAACACTACAAGGGAGTCTCCTGTCATCCCATCAACTGCCTGTCTTGCATTCTCTGCATGCCATAATGCAATCCATTTCCATTCCAATATATATTTTTTTATTAGTTAAAAATAAATATGAAAGGAGAAAGAGCTGATGCTCACCAAGAGCAAGATGAAGTTCCCGTCGGGTAACAAAGCCAACCAAATACTGTGACTCTTTGGAGACAACAACAGGGAAGCCATTGTGATCTGTCTCTTTGAGAATATCTTCTACTTCTGCTACTGTCATTGAGTTTTCGGTCAACACACACAGTGGCTCATTGTTTCTATCAACAGAGAATATCAGTGAAACACCAATTTTCTCTCACAATGATCAAGCAAATGAGAGAAGCAATACCTGGGTTTCATGACATCTGCAGCCAGGGCAATATGAGCATACTCTTCCTTACTGTCCAAAAATGGGTAACCATTGAGTTTGATATGAGCATCATAAATACCCTCTTTCCCAAGGGCATCTGCTACCCACTTGGATGCCATTGCAGCTGCCATAAGTGGGACAATATACCGTACTCCTCCCGTTAATTCAAACATGATCACCACCAGACTCACTGTGAATTGATAGCATAGTAGAAATAGAAAGCACCAGGAAATATAATGGAAGCAAAAAGGATAACATGAAGAGAATTTCAAACTAACCTGTCATTCTAGTGACTCCTCCAAGAGTGGCAGCTGCTCCCACCATGGCATATAAACCTGGGGTGATACAGTAATTGCTAGCACACTCTCCTTGCCAGATCCAAGACTCACTATTCTTGCTGGAAAAGGCAAACAAGGGTTAATCAGAATGACAACTTGAAAGCTCCAAAAGTTTAACACTAGAACTACTGGAGCTGTCAATTTGACCACTGCATTAAAAGTAGTATAAAACTATAATTCTGTAACATTTTATTTGTTTTTTTCCAGATGTTATTCTGTTCAAAATGTCAATATTAAATAGTAAAAGTAAAAACTGAGGGCCCTTAGTAGCCAAACAAGCAGAGTTAAGTGCATAAAAAACCTGCAAGCAGTAAAAATAATGTCCCAGTAGTTCTAGTGTTAACAGATGAATAAACTTATGAAGGAAGGATTATTAAAGTCCAGTAGTGAGCCTCCTTTGAGTGTATCATCAGAAATGGAACAGGAGCGAAAATGGGGGATATAAAAAGGAGGGAAGAGCACATTGACTTGAGCACAAGAAAAGAATGTAAGCAGTGTCCATGGAAATGATTGGAAGATGCAGGGAGAAACAACCATCCAATCTACACTCTATTTCTTTATGACAGTTTAGGAATTTCAAATTAATTTTTTTTTTTTAACAAGTATAGGGTAGTTATAAATACACCAGCCAAAGTTTTCCAGTCATACTTGTGGAAGGGTGAAATGCATATGAAATTTTACAGAGGCTGATGAATCTATTGGAATTAAGGGTCAGCTATTGCAGGCCATTCAGTCCCTACACAGTGAATACAGGAGCTCCGTTCAAGTGAGCAGGGGGAGTTTGGATTGTTTTCTGGTATGTGCTGGACTCTGGGAAGGTTGAGTCCTCCCTCCTTTTCTGTTCTTCATGTACATGAACAGGATCTGTAGGTGCAGCCTTGGCCTGGAGGGAGTCAACATCATTGGTGTCATGGTAAGGATACTTCTCTTTGTTGATGATGACATCTTTTGACCCATTCTCAAAAGGAGCTTCAGAGCATGCTCAAAAAGTTCAACTCTGAATGCACTGCGGCCAGAATGAAATTGAGTGTCTCCAAGACATAGGCCATGGTCCTCTTGAGAGATCCTGTACAGTGCACCCTGCAGGTTGGTGGGTTCCCACTGGAACAGATGGAGAAGTTCAAGTACCTTGGGGACTGGTTCTCGAGTGATGGGCGACAAGGAAACAAGATTGACAGCCACATCTCCAGGGCATTTTCGTGGGAACTTTGGCAAACTGTGGTTGCCAGATCAGAGGTTTCTAGGGAAGCAAAACTCTCGATTTTTAAGAGTGTTTATCTCCCCACCCTCACCTATGGTCATGAACTTTGGGTAATGACCAAAAGAATCAGATCACAGACACAAGCTGCTGAAAAAAGGTTCTTGCATTGGGTGGCTGGTGCAGCGCACTGTGACCAGCTGAGGAACTCCGTCATCCACAAGAGCCTCCATGTTGAGCAGCTGCTTCTTGGGATTGAGAAGCCTCAGGTCAGATGATTAGGACATGTCTGCCACATGCCCCCTGAGAGACTTCCAAGAGGAGTCTTCCATGCCAAGATGACTGGCAAAAGACCTGTCAGTAGACCTCTTACAAGGTGGAGCGATTACATTGCTCAGCTTTATCACAAGAGGCTTGTCATTCCACCAGCCAAGCTCGAGTCCATTGCCCAGGATCAAGGTCATTGGAGGACACTCCTGGGCATGCTCAAACTGTGACCCCATTAAGTTGGAAAAAGCAGCATTGAAAATGTATGTATGTATATATGTATGCATAAATGACACTATGATAGGAATAGGGTTTGAGTGATCAGCATCCACTTTCAATACTGTACCATTGCATACAACTGTGCATGTCTTCAGTGATTGCTTCATGGTTTACCTTCAGTGGAATGGCAGTAACCTCATGACATATGAAATCCTTATGGGCAGGCAAACTGCAAATAATCACAGAAGGCTCTGGCAACAGAGTTTCCAAATAACACCGTATTAATGTAACACATCACTGCATTGAGATCATAATCATGTTGTCATTTGTGTTATGAATGTCAGACATATTTCTATATTTATATCCATTTTCCAATGTTTACTTTTGCATATGCATTGACAATCCATAAGCACTGCCATCTTGCAGGAGTTGTAGAAAACCTTATAGGGTCATCAACATCTGTCTATCATTAGGGACACCCCAACTGTTGCTTCCATATTTATGGTCAGACAACAGTGGGTGGTTTCTTTTGTACATTCATGGAGCAGGGAGAAAAGAAGGCAAACATGTCATGTGCATCTGCTTCACTCTCATTGCCATTTGCATAAGTTCCTTCTTTCTTTCTCCATTTTGGGTGAGTTTCACAGCCCAACCATTGCAACATCTCAATTGAAGTTGCACTCAATCTTCCTAGCAGAATGAACAGATGGGAAAGATAGCAGACATAACTTCATCTTCTCTCCAAAGAAAGGAGGATCAATAAAGAGTGGATGTGACTTACTAGGCAACCTGCTCCATGGCAATGCCCACAATGCGGCCCATGATGGCTCCCATAGCCAGACTAGGAATGAAGAGCCCTGCCGGAACCTTGATTCCAAATGTGAAGATCGTAGCAATCAGGGTAAAGAGGAGAGCCAGTGGGAGCTGCCAAAGTGCCTGATACACACCATCACCAGCTTCTGCCAGTTGCATGTCTAAGTTCACACTTGTGAAGTTCCTCTTGTAATCGCTGCAAATATGAGAAAAGAAAATGTGTATTCAGCACCCAGTTGTTGTGTAGAAAAACCAGGCAGGAAAGCAAATAGGGCAACAGACCAAAGGTCATGATTATCAGCTGGTCCACATTGACTGAAGAGGGCATAAATGAGCTGACTCCTGCTCATGCGTGTATAAGGGTTAGGGAAGGAGAGGATGGCAGTCACAAGGGTAACAATGAGGACCTCAGCCACTGGATATTGTCCCAGCTTTGATCTCATCCTGTATCGGCTCCAAAAGATGTTTGCCTTGATGAATAGGGAACCAATGACACCCTGAAGAGAAAGAACTCAATCAAACTTCATACCTTCAGAGGCCTCATATGACAGAAGTAATAACCATAAGTGGATGTAATTTCCCGTGGACTTACCCCAATGATTCCGAGCCCTATGAATGGAATAAGTTCTACAAACATCCATGGTTTGTTGTATTCTACATAGAAGAGGACTGAATGCTGATTTCCAAATGGGTTGATGGTGTTGAGAACAAATGCAGCTACCAGAGCACAGAAAAAGGACCGCCACAATGTCTTCAGGGGAAAGTAATAGCTCACCTGAAAATAAGCAAGTCATGGGCTGAATGGATGATTTAGGTGAGGTTTAATCTAGAGGCATATTAAATGTAACCTAGGTTTACCTCTTCCAGACTGAAAAGGACGCCACCAATTGGAGCACCAAAGGCAACAGATACACCTGCTGCAGCTGCTGCTGACAGTATCTCTCTCTTCTTTGCCTCATTCTTACCATACTTTGGGAATAAGTATGAGAATATGTTGCCTAGAATACAATACAGATTCAGAAGTTTCAACTTCAAATCATTGGTGGGATCTGAAATAGCTCTTGTGATTGTCTGTATGTAGGAAGTCTGTAGGTAAATATCAAGAGCAGCACCTCCAAAGTTTTAGTTTCAGTAGCAGTAAGGGTACAAGTGTACCCTTAAGCAAGAATTCATAGTAGATGATGCATCCACAATTGAAAGCAACTAGCAACACTATCATCAATTTCTTAAAATCAGTTCTCTTAGTTTCCTAAGCTTTTCTCTAAAGGCCCTCATACTTTTAATATTTACCTACAGAAATTACTCCTCTTCTTCACCTACCAATACAGCAGGCCACATGGACAAGAGGTCCTTCTTTGCCAAGGCTAAGACCAGCAGCAACAGAAAGCATGAGGCAAACGGACTTAATGAGGAGAGTCCATTTCCCTAGGTAACCTCGAATAATGAACCCGCTCAGGATTGTCTTGATCTGAAATTTCAAGGTGATCAAATTCAAAGATATCAATATATGAGAAAATACCAAGCAATTGTTGTTAATGCTGGAATAACTCACCTCAGTGATTCCAGACCCACAGGCATAAGGTGCAAATACCTTGACAAGAACAGCAGCCAGAGCCCCAAACATCACGGAGAAAGCAACATAGAATAAGAACTGAACAAATGTTGCTCCAGCTCCTGCAGAATTACTTGTGAACAGCTGAGACCATGGCATCCACTGCAAATGAAATTATCACAAAATTAAATAATATATTGCAATCAGAGCTTCAGAAAGGAACAAAAACCAAAACAGAATGAAAGAGTAATAAAGAAATTAAAGGAACATGAACCACTATTTACTTATGGCAGCAGAAAATTTAAAAAATTAGAAATAAGTAAATGAAATACAACCACACTGGAAAACAAAAAAAATTATTTCCATTCAGTTAAAAAAAAAAAGTATTTTATTTTTCAACCAAGTATAGTACTCTATACTATAGGGCCACTCTTTAGGCTGACACTCAAAGGAACAATGACATTAATGATGCTGCCATGCAGATAGTGAAAAATACCCTTTATTCCTTTGCAGCTCTGTATGCAAGCCCTCAAGTATATGAGGTTGGGATAATAATAATAAAAAATGAGGTTCTATGACTATAACAGGATGATACAGGGTCTCAGATAGATGCATCCCCCTCCAGGAAAAACTAGGACAAGGAGGAAAGCAAAATATATTTAGAATTCTCATTCGATTTCTGTTCTAATGAATTACTTTTTTCCTTTCCTACCAGATGCCTTGTGACAGTGAAAACTGAGATTTTAAAATCAAATTTGAGCAATACATTTTTGTGAAGCTGACAATGCAGGTTAAAATTTCATTTGGAAATTTAAAAAGCTCTGAAGCTTTTTAATATCTAAAAAGTTTAAGTTTAAGAGAAAAGTTTAAGATCTTAAAAAAGATCTTAAACTTTTGTCAAGACAAAATGGAATTGGAATGCCTAAGAATGTGAAATGTGTACAAGTGAAATAGGAAAGGGGTGCATAGGTCTTTTTCAGGAGTCCATGGACATAATTGCTGCATCAGATGGAAGGAAGAAAAGTGTCCATTCTTTGGTGTCTCTGATGGAAAGAGAATGGGAAAAGAAGCACAGTTGTGCTACTGTTCATTGGGAACTTCAGAACCAGGGATTCAAGCCTTTTCATGTCATCAAGAAGCCCATGATTGGAAGGCAGGTTGTGGTTTGGTAATTTCTTCTATGCAAACTTGGGTCATTCTGATAGTTTGAGTGGCCTACAGTTCAAATGAATAATTCATCTGATGGGGCAAGATGAATGAAATCCTCCTCCCATTCAGACAAGAAAGAAAGTAGACTAGCTCCAAGGAAAGTTATCACTCATATGCAATCAACATATCTAGATTTTTTACTGTCATAAGGCATCTGAATGGGAACCAAGTATTTCATTAGAACAGGAATTAAATGAGAATTCTGTAAATAAATTGCTTTCCTCCTCATCATCATAGTTTCCCCTGGGGAGGGGGGTGGGGTGCATCTATCTGAGACACCCTGTAGATGGGGGTAGCAAAGTATTCATGTACACAAAATTTATTTTTCGTTTATCTTCTACCATTTGCACCAAAAATCTGAATAAAGCAAAGTCTATGCTTCATTTCAACATAGTATAAATTGATGTACTCTGTAGAAACCTTCTGAGGATAAAACCTTTGAATCCTAACAGTAGAAAGAAAATCTAAAATCAAGGCTTAACAAGGTCAATGCAAGCTACAACTGGTTCCAGATTTATCACTCAATGCCTGAATCCTCCTTTCATATAACCACCTTCAACATCACTTTTCAATTGAAGCAGAGAGATAAAAAAAATACCATGTCTTGGAAGGTATGATATATTTGATCCCATGACTTTAACTCAAGTGAAACAAAAAGAGTTCCAGTAAAATAGGGTTCAAGGTTCTTAACATACTGTTTTCTGGAACATGGACAATTACAGATGATGTCACGTTAGGATGGTATTTGAGTGGTAGGTTGGTAGGTGAACAGTAGTGGCTGTTAGAGGCATGAGTACATGTGGCTATAAATGGCAATGTACAACAGGCATCAACACAAACATTCTCATAAAATCTGAGTCTTAGGCACAGATAACAAAGGACCATATCTCTTATAAATTATCAAAATTTGCACCAATAAGGAATTACATATTTTCATAGGAAGGCATCCACTAAGCTCTTACCTCAATTTCAGGGGGAGCAGGAAGAACACTTGAATTGCAATATTGATATTTAACAAAAGGGAAAGACTGAAAATGATAAGAGTAGCTTTTGCTTATCAATGTGCGCACAACCCATGGAATTTAACTAGAATATAACCCAATACTTTCTTGCTTCTCTACTCCACAAACCACCTCAGATGGGACAGCAGTCAATTTCCCAATACTACCAGATTCATCTACATTCAGCAACTGGAAACATTGAGCAGTCTCACCTTGCATAAAACTATAGAAGTAAAAATGCAGCAGAATGGCTTTTCAACAAATGACTTCAAAAAGTCATCATGCCAAGTGATCATCAAAATGTGGTAGCCACAAGCTTATGAAACTCAGTGGTAAAAATTTTTTTTTAGAACAAACACTAGTACAGATGGAAAATTGAAGTATTATTTTAAAATAGAACCAAACATATAATTATGAACACAAATTACTCACTTTGGAACAATGTGCTCCAGAGATGGTATCAAAGAAAGTCTCATTGGAGGCCCAGCAGCACTGTTGTCGATCAAGCCAAAATGCCTGTGGGCAAATTCCTTCCCTGAGGTCTACCATCCAGCCAGCTCCTATATCAATCACACTTGCCACCACTCCTGAATAAGAGAACAACATTTCATGGATAACTGAAATATTGTCAGCTAAAAAACTGGATTACAATGAATGTGAAGCCTTTAAAAGATGAAAAAAGAGTGGGCACACACCAGCAGCAATTCCAACAAGAAGGAGACACAACCACCCAGACCAAGCATCATGAGCCCCCTTGATGAGATCACAGATGGAGTCTTGTTTCTTTTTCACGATATGCCTATGTCGCATACGATCCCTCGCAATATCCCTTTGCCAATCAATGGTGTGGTAGTCCTCATACTGACTCAATCCTGGTGGCAATGGCAACTCCTCAAAATCTCCACCTCCTGCCATAGCTTCAAACAAGATCATATTCACAATGACCATAGAGGAACTGAGATCACACACAGTAAAACAGAACTAGACTCTTCTTTCCTTTATAAACAGGAAGAATTATCAATGCTTTAGGTTAGTATACCAGTAGTACCACTAGTACAGGTTGAAGCTGATTTTAGAGGAAGGGGAGAAGCAACACTCACCAGGCATGCCAGCAAATTCCACCAAACCTTGACAGGAAGGAAAGAAAAAGTACACAACACAGCCACTATCAACAGCCCCTTTTACAAGGCATTAACCAAAGATGCATCAAGGAAAATCAAGTCTTCACATGAAAGTGTGCATCCACAAATGGCAGCAACCAGGAATAAAACACCACCAAAGCATTGAGTGAGTAGGTTGTCAAGTATCATGCAGAAAAAAAGCAAGTTGAATGAGAGGCAGTCATTAAAATTTTTTTCTCATAATCCATGATCAAGCAATTTAAGTAGTTTAAAATTATATCTGAGTTTCAAAGCTATAGAACAAACACCAACATCAATGTGTAGGAAGAGCCAAAAGAATGATGATGCAAGTCAGATTATTTTTAAATAGTGCAAAATATTTGAAGTGGCCCCCCACTCTATATTTTACAGCTTAATAAAGGCAGACCTAGATTTTTTCTTGGAATTTCCTGCCATAAACCAACCAATAGTTAAATATCATCATTCTGCTCTCTATTTGAACACATACAGAAGAATACATTCATCTCTAAGACATGCTCTCCTAGGTATGAAAAAATGCATAAGCACTAAACACAAGAAATATCTTTTATAATGAAGCTGGTTAATAAAAACTACTTCATGTAAGGCAGGGGATATCTTACACTGGGAACTAATTGGAGATGTGCCCATTTGTTGCCTGGTTTTCCCAGCAGCACTGAAGGTCCTTTGTGAGATGTCTATCATCTCATCATCTGAATTGGACAAATTTGATGTGGGTTTTGTAGTAACAGAGTCTCCCATAACCAAGCTTCCAGGACTATTCACAAAATTCCCCTGAAAATAAAGAATTTGGAATTCATGTGCAACTAAGCTTAGCAGCAAGTTGAAGTTATACATGTTGGCAATTGGGTGCACTAAGATGCCCAGAAACAATCAACCTGTACTTGGCTAGTATAATTCAAAGCCAGGTTCAAAGAAATCTTGATGGGACTAAGCCTAGGTTAAACAAAGGCAGAGATACATTTACACCAAAAGAATGAATTACACCAGAGAAATGAATTAAAATTTCATTCTTAAAACATGTAATTGTGAAAATATTGGTGTTCAACATTAAAACAGTTGATGTTATTTGACAATACCACACCAACTTATAGAAGTGTTTCCTTCCATTATCAAAATAAAAAAAAACCTTACTTAGAAAGTTCTCAACAGGAAATGAGCAAAAAAAATCACCCCTAGTTTTCAGCAGTTGGGCAACAAGAGCTGTACCAAATAAAGCACAGTAGCCTACATCATATACTCAATGGACTAAAAATCAGTAAAGGCAGGCAACCACACTTAAATAAGTTTTGCCAAACTAAGATACACATTTTTTTTATTCAAAATAACATGGTAGCCAATGATCTCATGATATAAAATAAGTTATTTCCCAAGATAATATTTGAATTTGAAAGGAGTATGTTCATATGTGCCTATTGTCATCATCAATGTCATTAACCCTTGCCTGTGTGAGGCATAATAAATCATTCCAAAAAAACAACTGAACAGGAGAGATTGAAGAACCCTTCCATCTTTCTTCAATTGCAATTCTTTCAATAGAAACTACTACATGAGCTGTTATGTTTCCCATCCTAAAATTGAGGGGAACTTAGAGACCTTCCAACCATAAGGAATTCGTCATGATCAGTGTACACAATTTTGAGCAATGAATGAGGAAAATGAGAACAATATCCACTCAAGCTCAGGCAGAGCACTCAGTTTTTTATTGTGTGTGTCACAAAAAGAAAGAAAGAGATCATGGACTTTTAGAGTGAAGATTCTTATCCTGTCAGTAACATACAAGAACAGCTGTTATTGGTGGATTTTCATCAATGAGAGACCTTCTGTGAAAGTGCTTCATTCACCCTAGGGTCATTCCATGCCAAATCAACCAGCAAGTGAGCTTAACCATCTTGGATTTTGACAAAAATAGGCATACACATAGAGGAATCAATTTAAATAAACTAATTTCAACAATATTTTTATCGCTCACACATATCTTCAGATACTTGCATTTTAATGTGACCTACTTTTCACTCCCAGCACCCATAAAGACTGAAATTGTGAAACTGTTTCTACAATAACTTCCCCTCTAGTTAAGATGTAAGCCTCATTCTGATGTAATTTTTATTGTGACATTTCCTTCTTTAAACTTATTCAAGGCACTTTTCCCCTCAGCTGAAACAAGAAGTTCCACTTGATCAAACAGTTTGATCACGTTCAGTGGCTAATATCAACACCTTGCCACCTTGTGAATTCATTGTTTCAATATTTCATTTAAAAGGGCATGGTATGCCATTTCTGATGATATATTAAATTCGAGATTGGCACTCAATGAGTTCATGAGATATGAATATTTTTGTGCACCTGTAGTGCCAAAATTCCACTTGTTTGAACACTTTCATCAACTTCAGTGACCCACACCTGCACTTTCCACTTCATGAATCCAAACTTATATCTAACTTATAACCCATCATTTAAAAGGGCCTGCTGTGCCCTTTCTAACGATACCAAATTCAAGGTTGGCACTCAATTAGATCATGAGATATTACTGTTTGTAGCAGTGGTACCTAAAATCCCACTTGATTGAAAAATCTGACCGATTTCAGCAACTGACATTTGCATCATGCCTCCATGCCTTTAAAGTTGCAATATTCATTGAAAAGTGCAGTTAATGCTGGTTCTAACTATACAAAATTTAAGATTGGCATTTAATGACTCAATTAGATATGACTATTTCTCATGGCAATGCCAAACTTATAATTGATCGAACAGCTGGATTGATTTCAGCAACTAAAATCTGTACTAGAACTTCAATGAATCCAGAGTTATAATATTTACTTAAGGGCACGTTATGCCCTTTCAAACGACACAAAAGTCAATATTGGCGCTCAATTGCTTTATGAGATATGACCATTCAACCAGAACAGGAATTCCCAGAGTGCTTCACAAAGGAACCATTGGAATCCTGGTAAGTTGTCCTATAGGTGAAATTATAGTAAATTTTTATCATTTTATGCACTTTTATCATGGTCCTATACTGGCCAAATTGCAAAATATTGCAATGATTTTCAATAAAATTCTTTGCACTCCATTCTTATGTAATTAACTGATTAATTAAAGTTAATTAAGCTAATTAGTTGATCTTTAAATGTTAAAAAATGAATATTTTGTAATTTTGTATGCAAGGAAAAAAAAAGTTCAAAATTAAAAACCAGCAAAATTTTCACACATAGAGTGACATAACATTCAGCTACATTCTTATGCTTCCCAGGTGCAACTATAAATGCACTGTCGATGCCATCCAACATCTTATGGACCCATTGAGTGCCAATCTCGAATTTAATATATCATCAGAAATGGCATACCATGCCCTTTTCAATGAAATATTGAAACAATGAATTCACAATGTGGCAAGTGTCAATATTAGCCACTGAACGTGATCAATCTGTTTGATCAAGTGGAACTTCTTGTTTCAGCTGAGGAGAAAAGTGCCTTGAATAAATTTAAAGAAGGAAATATCACAATAAAAATGACATCAGAATGAGGCTTACATCTTAACTAGAGGGGAAGTTATTGTAGAAACAGTTTCACAATTCCAGTCTGTATGGGCACTGGGAGTGAAAAGTAGGTCACATTAAAATGCAAGTATCTGGAGATCCATGTGAGAGATAAAATTTTTGTTGAAATTAGTTTATTTAAATTGATTCCTCTATGTGTACGCCTATTTTTGTCAAAATCCAAGATGGTTGAGCTCACTTGCTAGTTGATTTGGAGTGGAATGACCCCCTTGCAACATGGCAAAGATGGGTGACTGAAATTGAACATGATTTTTGAGTGATGATTCTTTTTGTCATGATGATGATGAACAACTTGTGAGTGACAAAGAAAACAGAAAACAGAAACAAATAGGTACATTTCAGTATGGAAATGGACATTTTCTTTACAAAAAAAAACAAATGGGAGAAGGATTAACATAAAAAAATATCTAGTTAATCTGATCCCTTAAGTAAATAGATTTTAACTATTACAATAAAATGTCTCAAATGCTCAACCTAATTGGTGCTCATGGTCAAGAGTAATAAGCCAAAAACTAATTATACACTGATTAATTCTTTGGCAATAATTTGGATGAAATTTGGCTGAAGGGTTTCCTGGCATTGTCAATTTAATAGGGACCCTTCCTTAAGACATCCAAGCACCCACTGGGGATGACTTCCTGCAGCAATGACTTGGGCATCATTTCACTTTGGTTCTTGGAATCTTGCTTATTTGAGTAAATGCCACATGGCTTGCCTGCTACTCACTTCTTTCAATGCATACAGTTTTTGACTCAACTCTTGACCTTGTGCACTAAATGCATTGAGGCTACAAAAGTTTTTACTTGAATAGATCCTATTTGATGGCATACCTTTGACAGCAGTCAATGCTACTTTTCTTATACTTTTCTTATAGTATTATATATACTCTGGATACATTTCCCTACTATTGCAACATTATTTTCACAAAAGTAAGAAAAATAGTATATTAGAGAAGGCAGAGTTTTATCACATGATAAATCTCTGCAGGCTGCAGAGATAGACACAGACAGGCTAACAAATACAGACACAAAGAGTAATTTTATTTAGTAGTCAATGAATTTTTTATATGCACTATACTGGGTGAGGAAAAAAAAAGTGCCACTCTCTGAGATACTTTGGAGTGCATGATATAACTTACAGCATTGATATATGTTTTTTTTTTGCAATGAATTCTATGTACCCTTTATTTTTCCTGAAAATTATGTTCATTTACTCCAACAGTTTAATC